TGACTGACTAGATCTGAACTCTTCTCGAGTCTTCAAAGAGTTCAGATAAATGTATGATTCATGTCCCTACAAGTACCAAGCAGATGTTTCTTGGGTGTTTCCTTTCCTGCTTTCTTTGACTGCGACTGCGTTCCACCTCCGCTAAACTATTTTAGCGTTAATGGCCTCGTCAAAAGACCTGGTTCTCAAATCCATGCGTACTTGAAACAACAGCAGGAGAACAATTGATTTGACAAACTACACAGTCTTTTATATTTCCCTCCCCGTCACTCCCCTTTTCAGGCCCGGTGTTAAACGTGTGCTCTGGGGCCCTCTTAAGTACCTCTATGCTAAAGAGAAGGAGTTTGGGTTGTTGTTTTCTTTTTTTTTTGGGGGGGGGGGGGGTGTAGATAGGAGGGGTCTGGCCTGACTTTCTGCTCAGCGCCTACAAGCTGCACTTCACCTTCCAGCTGCTCTCTAGTCCCTTTGGATTCATGGCAGAGGGGAAGAGCAGGGGCCACATGGAGGAAGGGAGGGAGGAAGGAGGTGATGGAAGGGCGTAACTGGATGGGCAGGGAGTGGGGGTGATCTTGGGCGTACATGCCCTGGAAATTTCCGTTGTATGTTCCACTTCTTTTCAGGATGAGAGGGGAGTGGAGTTTTTGTTGGGGGTGGGGATGGGTGGAATGGTTGGACTGGGGTTCTTGGGACTTGGCAACCAGCCATCCCCAGCAGGAAGCTTGTGCTAGTTTCACACACAGAGAGAGAGAGTCCTGGACACTGTCTGGCTATCTGAGCATTGCAGTCTCATCACTACCCCCCTCCCTAAAAAACAAAACAAAACAGGAACTTGTGAATGTGGTTTTCACAGACTGATGGTTGTTTACTTACTGCTGCACTCTGAAACCACGTTTCTCTGTTTCACAATGATAAAGTAAAAGACAAAAGCAGGCAAAGGACGGGGATGATGCACTTCCTCTTTTGAGATCCTGCTACAGACTTTAACCTGATGTTGGTTCTGACCCAATTAATAACTACAGCAGTACAGGAGGAGTCAAGGATGTCAACAATGCAGTTGGTCATGTGCCAAGTAGCCTCAGTGATGTAGGAAACATCACCTCAGATTTAATGTGCAAACATCCTCCTTCACTTAGTCCACATAAGCAATTAGTTTAACTGTATTTTATTCACACACACACACGCACACGCACACGCACACACACACACACACACACACACACACACACACACACACACACACACACACACACACACACACACACTGTATATAAACCCTTCACATTCATCTTCAATCAGACTGAGAATTGAAACATCTGCAAAACCTATTTATGTGCAGCTGGAGAAACTACAGCAGTTACAATCAAACAGGTGCACGAATTAGAAAGAGTAATAGTTGTGTTTGTTTGTTTTCTAGTAAAGAGATTATTTTAATTTGGCTTGGCAAAAGTCCAGAATTTTTACCAGAGGCAAGAAAACAGGAAGCACAGAGCAGATGCATCAGGTGGGCTGTGTGTGTGTGTGTGTGTGTGTGTGTGTGTGTGTGTGTGTGTGTGTGTGTGTGTGTGTGTGTGTGTGTGTGTGTGTGTGTGTGTGTGTGTGTGTGTGTGTGTGTGTGTGTGTGTGTGTGTGTGTGTGTGTGTGTGTGTGTGTTAGGGTTGCCAGGGGCAGGCAGACACTGGTGCAGCTTGCTGGGAGCTCTGGGCCCCCAGCAGGTGGATTTTCAGAGAAAAGAAAAGAAGGATGGATTAACGGGATGAAAGGCAGCTAAGGATTACTCATCTGCTCTGCACTGAAATCCAAGTGTCTCATGAAGCAACATTCATTAAATGAAGGATTCATAACTTTTTGAAAACGTAAACTTGATCTATTTTTCTACGAAACGATGCAGTAGTAGAAAAAATCAGGATTACTGATCAAAAATGTGATATTTTAGTCATTTAAACAACAAAAACATTGTTTTAAATTAGATTAATCATACTGGTTCATCAACAAAAACATTCAGTCTGATCAGTGATTCTGACTCCAACCAAAACCTTCCCAATACTTCCACGGTGGATGGCAACACATTAAACAGCAGTTAACTTAAGTATCGACCCATTTCCTCATGATCAACACGTACCAACAAGCGACTCGTGTAAGTCTCAAATGCTCAATGGGCAATTCTAATGTTTTAATCTCACCACAAAGTTAAACACACAAATAAATGTAATTTATATTTTTCTTTCTTTCTTTCTTCCAGGAGGGGGTTCATTAGAGCCTGCATGGATGAGACAACAGAGCACTCATGGATTTTACCCAGAAAGTGACTGACGTCCTGCCCTGGAGCCAGGCCTGTGGTTTGGGCCTGTGTGTGTCAGCACCTGGTGGCTTTATGGTGGCCAGCTGGGCCCAGCCCAAACCAGTTATGTGGGTTTGCTCACCTGTGAGCTCTCCACCTGCAGGAGGAGCATGAAGGGTTCAGCCCAATGTGGTTCAGGTCACAGAATCAGGCAGGATCTTGGAGGGTCGAGACTCAGTCACAAAAACTAGCTTTAAAGAGATGAGAGGTCTCCTCTTGGGCAGGCAGGAAGCTTGAGCTTGGAAGAGGCTGAACAACAGCAGCTATGTAGCTGGACTGTTGCTGAGGAAGGTTACAGGTGCCGGCTATAGTGGTAAAACCCAGACCTGTTGGTGGAAACCTGAGGTCAAGGGAGCCATTAGGCAGTGGGAGGACATCCAAAGAGCGTGGCTGGTCTGCAGGACCTCCAGATGCAGGAGACAAGTACTAACGGACCAATTTGGGTGAAGCAGTGCTGGTTGACGGTGTGGGAGGAGTTTGAGAGGGCCCTAGAGAAAGACTGTTCATCAACTCTTAAGAGGTTATAGCAAATTGTCTAGAACCTTGGGAGGTCCTCATGGAGGACAGGTTGGATTACCATCCAATCCCTGAACCAAAGAAGTGTGATTCTGGTCTATGTATGCTCTCCTGGAGAGGGCAGGACGCCGCCAGGGCTGCCCTTTGGAACCGGTTCTGCTCATAACTTTCATGAACGAGTTATAAGATGCAGCCGTAGATAGAGGAGGGAGGATCTTGTCTCTGGTTTTAGCAGGCGATGTGATCCTCTTACCTTCAACAAGCTGACTTTTAACTCTTGCGGGGGGGGGGGGGGGGGGGGGTGCAGCCAAGTGTGAAGAAGCTAGAAGTGAGGATCAGCCTCTCCAAATCCAAGAGGTGGTATCTAGTCTTGCCCAAGGAGGACACAACAACCGACACAGCCTGAGTGAGACTTGAAACTGCAAACCTCCGGGAACTGGGTGGGTATTTAACTTCTCTGCCATCGTCACCCAGAACGGCAGTAAAGAAGATGAGTTTGGGGCTCTAGTCTCCCAGGTAGATGTTGAAACCAAGTCTGAACTGAACCTCATATTGAGTGCTTCCCTAAATCAGGCCCTACTAGTTGTAATCTACTAACAGATTATTAACCAGAAAATCTGGTCAATAATCTGGTTGAGTCTGAAAAGCACTTTATCAAACCTACATAAAACAGCTGTACACTGCTCCACCTTCACACTCATCCCTGATGGTGTGGTGTGATGGTGAAGATGCTCTCTGCTGTGGATCACTATACACAACATTATTTATTCATTTGCAAGAGCAACGTTAGCGGTGTGAGTGCCTCTTGAGTATTGTCCATCTGTGAGCTGGCCTATACTGTACACTAATGTAACACGAGTCCTCAGGAGGCATATTAATAGCTGTTCAAGTGTTAAGGCTTCACACTATTTATCTCCATAATAACACCACTGTTGATTACAATTAGTGCCCTGTCGTTGGAATGTGATTCATCTGTCCCCGAAGAAGTGCAAGATAAACAGTGAGTAAAGTGCGACCTTAACGGTTTTATTTGATCACTGCTGCGCTGACAGCATTTCACCCTCTCATAAGACACCTCTAACATGGGAGAACATCGAGTCTAATTGCTCCCTATAAGACACTATAATCCATCTCTGAGGAATGCCGTACACATCATTTTACACAAAGCCCCAGATGATTTAATTTCCACCCAGGGAGCTTTCGGCATTATGCTGTAATAGAAAAGGAAGATCTCTGCCAGATTCCCAAAACAAAAGCTGCTGTATTATAATCATGAAAGCCGAGCGAAAAAATCAGTTTTCATCAATCCACAGGAACTTTAAATAGAAAAAGAAGTTATTCAAAATACTTAATAGCTGATTCATGAATCACAGAGAAATGTGTGTGACTTTATGAATGAACACAAGTATTTCCTTTGCAGTTGTTTAGATTTCAATATATATATATATAAACTCAAAGTAGACAAATGGTACGCAACATCAATGCAGAACACTCCATCTAGATCAGTAAACCCTTACTAAATGACTTAAAATAATGTTATTTTAATTTTACTGCTTTCATCTGCCACCAGATGCTGTTAATGATATTGCACTGAAAGCTGTAAAAACTCTCCTTTACTGACATAAATTATGAGATAGGGATGGAATAGAGTGCAGTTATAAAATCAAATATACCTCATTGAATATATTCTGCATTTTTAGGTTAATTCTGTTTGGCTGACTGATGCACGGCTCTGAACAGGCAGATAATAAAAAAAAAACATCATGCACTGTAATGCATGACTTCTCATTCCAACCTCTGATCAGTTCTGGAGAAACAGCCTCTGGCTCATTTTCCATCTTCTTCCACAATTTGACTGCAGCGGGGAATGGTGTCTCACTTTGATCTTTACATACCCTCTAACGTTAAGGCACGCTCACTGGCTTTTTCTTTTTGTATAAATTTTGAGGAAAAAAAAGTCAAACGCTCCCTTGCCTCTCTCATCTGTGGCTGTAACACACAGTGAAACGCGTGAACACCTTTCTTTTTATTTTTTCTCGTCATCCTCCAACACCACCTCCATCTGTCCCTTTCTTCCATTTCATGTGCTCCAGCGAAATCCACACCCCTCTCATAGCAACAGTACGCCTCCCCCGCGCCTTGCAGTGCATGTTTCTTCCCCTGGATCTTCACCTCGCACCATGCAGACGGTCCCTAAGCCTGCCTGACGGTTCGGTGTTCCCCCCTCCCCCAACAGCCGCGCTCCTGTTTCACTCAAAGATGGCGTCGGCTCTAGAGCCTCTGGTCTCTGGCTGTAATTTTAGCCTTGTTGTTGTCTTCGTTTCGCTTCGGTTCTGGCACGTTCTTCACATCGGCTCGACACGAGATTCCGGTGAGTAGCAGTGGAAACCGGACGAGGGTTTAAAAGATTTAATTTTTCTTTGGTGTGCTTATCCGAGCTTCCCTCGGAAACCAGAACAGGACCAGTTCTGGTTTTCTGGAGAACCGCGAGAGGTAGCGGGAGAGAGGGGTACGGAGGGATGGAGATCGCTGAGGTGGGTGGGGGGGTTTGGGAGGGGGGAAGCAGGGCCTAGCTACTCTGCTCTGTGGGCCCTCTCGTCACCGCACCGTAGACTGGAGCGAGACGGGAGGGTGAAGGTAGGAAGTCAGCGAGGTGGGGACTGCATGCAGGGATGCGTCTGAGCGGGCTGAGGGTCCTCGACCGTACGCTAGGCTGAGAATTACGCCGAGGAACATGTAATGCTGCAGAGTCCACCGCTGAGATACCTTCAGTGTTGCACTTGCCCGCTAGCCGAGATGGCCGTCCGCAAGCTGCATTGTGCCTCATCCAAGGCCGCGATCTCGCGTCAGAACCCGAATGACACACCGAGCTATATTTTCTGTGATGTTATTATTTGTTTAGTCGGAAACGCAGTCCCAAGAGGAAATTGTTGCCTTTGGGCTGGCTAACCTCTCGTTACAAGCTGTTTATGTTTTGAGTAACGTTACAGCAGTGCCGTAACGTTAGCTCGTTTTGCTACATCGTTAGCTTTCTAAACAACAGCAGTTAGCGGGGATTTTGGTTGTTATCTACCTGTTTGTGTACCACTATTTAAACAAAAGTAAACAGCATGGTCTGAGATAGTATAGAGTTGTATCAAATGTTTTTTTCTGTAAATCTTTATGTAGCCACCAAGCCAATGTTTGCTAACACTGGGCTTGGACCACATCTTGTTTACGTTTAGCAGCCCAGCTGTCCAGGTTGTCAACATTAATTGTGCAGCTTTAATGGTTATGTATCCGTTTATTGTAGCACATTGACATTTGCATATCACTACGTGCGTTTTCTAATGTTTCTGTGAGATTTATTTGTGTTTATCACTGTGCTACTGACTGGTTTTCACCACTTTCTGTGACAGACCTGTATAGCCGTTTACAAAGACTTTAGCAAGTGTCAGTGGACTGTTTCGGTATTTAAAATGTGTTGAGATTGGTGCACAGTAACCTTATCTATGTTGTGTCAAAGAAGAATAGTTTTGTTTATGTCTGTGTTTGGGCTTTTCCTGGTTAAGCAAAGGACTTTTAAAGCTGCATCTTTAGTGTTTTTATCGCTGCTCCACTTTAATTGTTGCTGTCTTCTGAATAAATACTCTATGTTTTGAGCATTCAACATGTTTTGTTGCATTCTAAAACCCACATTCTCCATCTCTTGTTTTTATTTATTTGTACAGTTTTCATCTGCAGCTGAGGTGCAGCAGGCATGAAGGTGATCAGCCCTCGCTGCTCCCTGGGGTGAGAAGACTGTTCCACCCCAAAGCTACGAATCCAACGTCGTCGCTGGAGGGAAAATAAGAAGTGACAGAAATCAAGTGGAGACAAAAGAGAAAACGTGGGCATTGGGATGTTTACTGTCTTTCCTTCACTTTTATCATTGAAACACAATTTTCGTGTTCTGGAAACATTGACTATCCACCACCTCACTGTAAAAACTGACTGCATAACCTGTGGAAGGAAACTCACTACCATTCACTAAATGTGAATCTGAGGGATTCTTTTGCTACACTCACAATCAGAAGCACCCTTTTTTTTTTGAAAGGATCTTTTATCTTCAAGATCATTACTACATCCTGTTTGCAGTGGAAGTTTAACTTTTTTAAAGACCTGCTGGTTCCTCCACTCCCCCAGCCCCCCTACCTTTACCTGACTGGAAGTGGGTGGAGGGTGAATCAAATTTTGCTCAGTAGAGGGTTGGCTCAAGGGGACTGTGCTATGATCAGCTGCTCTTTACCGTGCTGCTCATACTCCGCTTCAGCGAGACTCTCTGTTCGGCCCCAGGACAAGGGATAGTAAGCAAGTAGAGGGAGTAAAGGAGGAGGCGAGGCGGCGCTACGGCGCAGGCCAGGTGTTGTCTTGGCTTACAGTTTCCTCTTTTTCTTGTGTGCGGTCCTTGCAGCAGAGCCTCTGGGCAGCTGCACCCACCCAGAGCGCAGCTATGGTGAAACTGGCAAACCCAGTGTACACGCAATGGATCCTAGAGGCCATCAAGAAAATCAAGAAGCAAAAGCAGCGACCATCAGAGGAGCGTATTTCCAATGCGGTTTCCATGACCCATGGGCTGGACCGCAAAACTGTTCTAGAGCAGTTGGAGCTAAGTGTCAAGGATGGTACAATCCTTAAAGTCACCAATAAGGGCCTCAATTCCTACAAAGACCCAGATAACCCTGGGCGCCTGGCTGTGCCAAAGCCCAAAAGTGGTGCCAGCTCTGGAGGAGGAGGTGGAGGCGCAGCAGCGACAGGAGGAGGAAGTGTTGGAGGTGGCAGCAGCAACAGCAGTGGCGGAGGTACATCTCACACTCATTCAGGAAAGAAACCAGGACTTGATTGGTACAAGCTGATCAAACGGGCATTGGAGGGGCTTCATGAGCCTGGCGGTTCCAGCTTAAGGAACATCGAGCGCTTTCTTAAATGCCAGGCTGATGTGGCTGCTTACCTGTCGAGCAGTGGTTCAATGGGACCTGGCATCTTCCACCAGCAGCTGAGGGTAGCCCTGAAGAGGGCTGTGGCCCACGGACGTGTAGTCAAACAGGGTCCACTATTTCAGCTAATCAGCCGCAGCAGCTACCAGGGTGACGGGACCGGGACGGTTTCTCTGGAATCATTGCCTCCTGTCCGATTGCTGCCACATGAGAAAGACAAGGTAAGTCCATGTAAATTTGACAGTAAACATGGTCAGTTTCATTTAAATCTAAAATGCACTGTAAAGATAGACACTTGTTCACTCTAAGGGTGTGTGTATGTGGGTTTGTTATATGTGGAGTGTTGGTGATCATTCAGCTGCGTTTGTTAATAAGCTGTTAGAACATACAAGGGGTTGAAATTAGCTCTCTCTGTGACATTACATTCTTCAGACCAAAATAGAAATATCTTAAACAGTGGCAAAAGCATGCTCTTCTTTTGCATCAATAGTGTGCGTGTTAGCTTGGTTTATGGGAGTAAAGTGTTTTTGTAGTTCACGTCACACAATGCATAAGACACTGGCACTGCATTTCTTCAGAGTTAGGCCCTGTCCACACGTAGCCGGGGATCTGCCAAAACGTAGATATTTTTCTACGTTTTGGCCTGTCATCCACATGAAAACGGAGTTTTTTCACACAAAAACGAAGATCTGCGCTTTCTCCGTTTTGGGTGTCTGCGTGAGGACAGACAAAACCGGAGTTTTAAGGTCCGCAACGTCACTTTCCGCGATAAAAACAAGCTGACATCACGTTTGCAACCTGTGTTTACACTAGCCGACAGCATGGATGCCCTCAGAGCCGCGCTCGCTTTATCAATTGTCCAAGCGCTTTTTGCTTGTTTGTTTTTGCAAACGGAATTACTGCTCCTTGCAGAAGACCACAGACGAAGGACGAGGTTAAGAACGGGGGAAGTACTGCTGCCTACAGGTCTGGCATGTCCTTAACAACGTATTTATCCGGGTACGTGTGGACAGAGTTTGTTTTTAAAAACGAGGTGGTGTGGATGCAAGTTTCTGGAGGGGCGGATATTCGTTTTTAAAAAACCCGGCTACGTGTGGACTAGGCCTTAATCTAGGTCCTGTGAGCTTGTGATTAACTGGAGGGTAGTAACACTGACTGTGAAACGAGTAGAAAGTTTCCCTATGGTGAGTTTCCAGGGACAGTTGATGGCTTTTTAGGATACATTTAGGTTTTACTTTAGGCACATGTCATTATTATTATTTTTTTTTACAAACTGTACCTTATTTTTGGCTCTAGTGTTTGTGTTAAAGTGCAGAGGGATGCCTGGTTGTAAGAAACACGGAACCACCCTCACTGTGCCGCTGCTATTTTTTAGAATGGTTTGAGTGGTTTTGAATGCATCCTCGGTAATAGCCTGGTGCAGGGTGGATGGCTGGTGGGGCATTTTTCAGAAGCATGGGAGGAGCAGAAGGAGGTCAGAGGAGAAAGTCATATGGCTCCCAGCCTCCTGCTGGGAGTGTGGACCAGCTGCAGGATAGCTCCTTGTCAGTAGCTGCCAGATGTAGTGAAGAAAGAAGCAAGGAATGCTAGAGAATGGATGTAGTATAGACAAGAAAGAGATGGTCTGTGGCAGAGCCAGAGGGCGAGGCCTGGATGATGCAAGCTTCAAGCCTCTAAAACCAGAAAGAGTGAGAGAGGCAGAGAAGTAGCACAAGAGGAAAGGGGAGACAGAACAAGAGGGGGAGGCAGACAAGCAGGCGACAGAGGAGAGGGAACACACCCACCTCTGTAACCTGATCAGAGAGAGCAGCCGTCTGCTAACCTCCTGTTGTAAGGTTAATAAACAGAAATGCACTCTAACATGCACACTTTAGCCCTTCCTATTGCACACTGAGACTAACCTGGGCATCAGCTCTACCTGCTAGCCTCACTCATAAATATTTTATAATGCTCACAACATGCCCCAAATTCCCTTCTCATTCTTGCAGACATTTAAAATGTACATTCCTTCAACCAGATTATCTAAAAAGCTCTACACTACTACCATACATTTGAGCAGTCTTACACACTCACTACTGTTGAGACTGATTTATACTTCTCCGTCTGCGTGGGTACGGTCACACGCAACACCATTACGCATCGGCGCAAGGGCAGAGACATGTCTGAATTTCCATCGAAAGTGACAGAGACCGCACGCTTGTGATTGGTCAGGACGCCTCTTCCTTTAAATTTGTCAACGGCCATTGCCCCCTCAAAAATAAAAAGATATTTAGCAGCAGAAAAAATCAGAAAATATGAAGGTTTAGTCATCCGTGGCGGAAGTAGTACGAAGATACTCAGCCAGTTTTATTTGGGGACGGAAATGATGGGAAACGTGGGTTTAGAGGTGCCGATCACATGAAGAGGTGGAGGAGAATGTAGGACAAATTCATCCTTGTAATAAAGTCTCAGAAATACATAAACACATGATCTACACAATAGTAAATACACAATCTTGGACCAGATACATGAGTGCAATGGTGACATAATACCACAGAAAAGTGCTACGCCCTCTGTTGTCCTGGCGGGGAATTGCTTTGCAACACTCCCCAGGTGACGGACAAGTCTGAAGGCAAAATGTCTCTGTCAATGCGTGTGCGTCTCTTTCTTGCAAAGCTCACGGAGAAATATAAATCAGGCTTTACAAATGCAGCCCAGCAGGCTAAAACTGTTTTGACTAGCGCTGAGCTTTGTCTGGGTTCATTAGGGGGTGTGGGCCAAAGGACCTCGTGGTAAAGATACTTATACATGTAAACACAGAGTAGGATTAGCCTAGACAGCAAGCTGGGAGTCACGTGGGTACTGCCTAACACAGTGACCTGCTTGGCTGCAGATGATCTACCTTTAAAGGCACAACAGAGGTCCGCTTCCTGTTCCGTGACTCAGCTACTGATTGGCCTGCTGCAGTGACCTCAAGGCATATGGAAGTAGAGGGACCATTCTGAGTTTTCCTTGTTATTGTATAACAAGGTAAATCCTAGGCAAGCAAAGTTTCACCCTGATGACACATAAAAATAATTATTTGTCTAAAAATCAGACCCCTTCTATGGTGGTGCATTATTGATATGTCTGTCCAGAAGAACTTATAGCAGCTCAGTCCAGCGTGCTTTGTGAATTGCTGCCTTTAGTGTATGCTGGTTTTTGTTGGTGCGGTGGGGGCATATGTGTCAAAGGGATAAAACTGCAGGAAAGGCTGAAGTTGCTGTTGCATAATCACTTCTCTCTGCTAGCTGGGTCACTCCTGGTGCATCAGTGCCCCACATGATTGCCAACAGTTATGATTTCCCAAGGAAAGGGGGTAGATTAAGGCAGAGGGATGCGGATGAGAAGAATCAAAACAAATGGCTAAGCACCAGCTTTAACCCCATTTGCAGGGAGATTTGTGTACTCAGCGGGCTGATGGTTGCATCAGGGCGCTCTGCTCAAAAGGGATCCCAGACACTATTTCTGGCTCTCTGTCTCCCACCTCTCCCCCTAATAGAGTGCCATTGTCAGGTCATGATGGGGAGGCAAATGGGGGAGTGAAGTCAACCAGGGGTCATGGATATATAGATGGCAAACCTCATTGCCTCCCTGAGCACCCGTTAGTAGCATGGAGCTACGGCCATTAGGTGGGATGGGCTTAACATGGGGCTTTTTTGTCTGTGTCTGTGTGGGTATTTCGGTGTGTGTGTGTGTGTGTGTGTGTGTGTGTGTGTTGTTGTTGTTGTTCATCCAATCATAATAGGTAAAAGCAGTCTCCCTGCCCGGCGCTTGCCCTCTCCCCAACAGTTGGAGCGGGGTGAACCAGAGTTCTTCGTGCAGTTGGGCGGTGTCACGGTGAGGACTTGTGAAAAAAGTGCCCCATAGCTGCACGTGCGTCCTGCTTTGTATGTTGTCGTGATCTCCCTCCAAAAATGTCCCACTGACCTTCTTATCGGGTTTGGATAATGCTGGTATCTTTTATGTACGGTTGTTATTCTTTGTAGCTGCAGTGGAGCTTGATCAGCTGTTTCTTTAACACGTCACGGTTAAAAAGAACAATGAACACACAAAACTGATTATTCAGCATTTATTTTGAGTGGAACCTGCATCTTCATGCAGGAACAGGAGAGATGTTGTGTGTTTGCTAGCTGGACAAAAGCTTTCATAGGGTTTGAGATGTGCCACAGGAAAGCCGGGAAATGATGGTGTGACATTGTGAAATTGTTTCTTCTAAGTCTCTTGACGTTATTTTTCCATTTCCATAATGAGCACTTGCCGTTTGCATTTTGCCAGAGATATGGCCTCATGTGTGTTGGTACAAAACCCGAATCTTGTTCGACTTTGTGAGGAAACATGACACAAGCAGAAAAATTTGCTGGTTTACCTGACTCATCCTGGAGAGACTGGCGAATTGGCCACAGTGGTTGAATATTTATTTATGTTTAGTCTTTGTTCTTTGATCTGTGAGTTAAACAACAAGCTTCTAGTAATAACAGCCCACGTGGCAGTAGTGATGTCCCGATACAACTTTTTCACTTCCAATACGATAACGATATTGCAGCCTTCAGTATTGACCAATACCAATATCAATCTGATATGATATCAGCACAAATCATACATACTTTTACCTATTTCGTGGTGTGGAATATATGAAAGGTTTGATCAAGTGATATTACTCAATCTGAGAACAAGAACCAATAACAGTAAGTATGGAAAAAAAAATGGCAATTTTTTCTTAACCATTGGTTGCAAAAATATGAACCTTAACGGACTGCTTATATCTAGGGTTGGGCATCGTTTGATTTTGAACGACTCCGATTCTGATTCCTCGTTTTGATTCTGGTTCCTATCGACTCCCGATTCCGGTTCTTTCAAGACATGACATGTTTTAAATGAGCCAGCTGACCACAGGTCCCACTTGATGAAATAATCTTAACTTCAACATTAATTTTAATTCTATGAACAACAACATCACCTTCATTTAGACAAAAACATGTTTTGGAGAAAAAAAAGAAAAAAGACTTGCAGCACAATCAGTGTGTTGGTTTCTGACCACAACCAAAGTCTGGAAGAAGCCTCTGGGATGAGAGGCTAAATGTCTCCAACATATCCAGAAACGTCCAGCTGATTTGAGCTAAAACTCTCAGGATGATCATGTCCAGGATGACTGAGAACTACACCTCCATGCTGCAGCAGCATTCAGTCAGAACAGGAAGTG